TTGTCTTAATCTCTTTATCTTCTTGTCACTCGTGTGTCTTGTATAAATATGGTAAAGAGAGGCCCATGTGCTTCAGGAAAGATTGTTTAAGAAGCAATAGCTTGTCAAATCAATTAAAAAAAGAAAGAGTTAAAATAAACCTGTCATCAAAAAAAAAACTCTGAATGCAAAATATTCAATTTCTCTAAAGTAATTTCACACAAAGTCATCATTATCTTTGCAAAAGTTGCTAGAATTCACAGGATTCACCAAAGTTTTTAACATAGTCCTTTTCCATAAATAGTCTTGTCTTCTGTGTGATTTGACACGGATGTATGTAGTACATCTTTGTAGTAGCCACTGCCTCTCAGAGTAGTCTTGCTTCTCGGAGGTGTTTGCAGTCAGACAGATAATGGTAGGAAGCTGGACTGTGAAAACTAACTTACAGAACTAGAATTTTGCTTCTGTTTTGATCTTTTTATAATATTTTCAGTACTTTTCAAACGTGTTTTCCTGTTCTCTGGTTCTACTAGAACAAAAAGCAAGAATCTGGGATGACACTGTGTGAAAAAAGCCTCCTAAAAAGTAAGTCATACAGACGGGATAAAGTTAAATATTCTCAGCATGTGAAGGAATACTAGTGGTCACAGTGCTATTCAGGTAAGCACTTTTAATCAGAAAATCTGAAGCACTTGAAAAGAGATGATACCTCCAATTTGCAAAAGTGGAAGCACAGTATAGTTACATGCGTTGCCCAGTTTGATACAATGATAGTGTTGCCAGAGCTTGTGAAATTATCTTACGATATCCCGTGACTTTTTCAAACCCCTTCTCCAGAGAGGTTTAAGATAATATATTTTGTCAAAAACAAATAAAAAACCAAAATATCTCCTAACTGCAAACAAAAAATGGAAAAACGTGACACCTGAAAACATGAACACACCACAGATTATCTGAAAATATCTTTTTAAAGTTATTCTCATGATTTTTAGGCTTGGCACAGCATCCGAATGTTCGTTGGGTAACTATGGGTGAGTCAGTGCCATTGTTCCTCTGGTACCACACCTAGTGCCTTGCTTCTCCCTCGGGGAAGATTATTGGTGCGGGCAGCGATGGCTTGAACACCCTGAACGTGGCTCAAAGGACTGCAGAGGAGAGCAGTACCCCACCGGCAGTGACTGGGGGACCTTACTGACCCAGGGAAGCTCGTGGTAGTTACTCCTAACGACAGCGAGCAAGCGCGAGCTCCTTGGGATCGCACCTTCGCTAAATAAATGCAAGTATGGAGTGCTTAAAACCATGAAAAAAAAAAAAAATCTACCAAAGTCCTGCCCCTGCCTCCTGCGGCCATAAAGAAGATAGGCGCGGCGCGCCGAG